TCTCAAAAGAAAAAAAATAAATAAATAAATAAGAAAATGGTGTGACCACTGTGGACAAAAGTCTAGCAGTTCTTAAAATTGTTCACAGAGTGTCGGTGCCTGTGGCTCAATAAGGGCTCTGGCCTCAGACACTGAGGGTGGCAGGTTCATAACTGGCCCTTGCTAAACTGCAACAACAACAACAACAAAAAATAGCTGGGCGTTGTGGCAGGCCACTATAGTCCCAGCTACTCAGGATGCTGAGGCAAGAGAATCCCCTAAGCCCAAGAGCTAGAGGTTGCTGTAAGCTGTGATACCACAGCACTCTATAGAGGGCAACAAAGTGAGACTCTGTCCCCCCTCCAAATTTTTTTTTCACATAGAATTACCATGTTATCCAGCAAATCCACTTCTGGGTATGTACCTAAAGCACTGACTCAAGTGGATATTGCCATTCTAGTCATAGCAACTGTGCACAACAGCTACAAAGTGGAAGCCATCCAGTGTCCACTGACAGAGGAATGCATGAACACAGGTGGTGTGTCCATGCAGTGGAATATTATTCAGCCTTTAGAAAGGAAAGAAGTCTGAGTGGTGCCTGTGGCTCAGTGGATAGGGCACCAGCCCCATATACCAAGGGTGGTGGGTTCGAACCCAGCTCCTGGTTAGCTAAAACAGCAGTGGCTACTGCAACAAAAAATAGCCAGGCATTGTGGGAGGCACCTGTAGTCCCAGCTACTCAGGAGGTTGAGGCAAGAGAATCACTTAAGCCCAAGAGTTGGAGGTTACTGGGAGCTGTGACACCATGGCACTCTACTGAGGGCAACAGAGTGAGACTCTGTCTCAAAAAAAAAAAAAAAAAAAGGAAGGAAGTCCTAGCCAAGCATAGCAATTCATGCCTGAAATCCTAGCGCTTTGGGAAGCTGAAGTGGGAGGATTGCTTGATGCCACGAGTTCAAGACAGGCCTGAGCAAAAGTGAGACTTCATCTCCACAAAAAATAGAAAAATTAGCCAGACATTGTGGTGGGTGCCTGTAGTCCTAGCTACTTGGAGTTTTTTTTTTTTTTTTTGGCCAGGGCTGGGTTTGAACCCACCACCTCCGGCAAATGGGGCCGGCGCCCTACTCCTTTGAGCCACAGGAGCTGCCCAGTCCTAGCTACTTGGAAGGCTGAGGCAGGAGGATCACTTGAGTCCAGGAGTTTGAGGGCTCAAATGATCACACCACTGACCTCCTATCAGAACAACAGAATGAGACCTTCTCTGTAAATATTTTTTTTAAAGGCTCAGCGGTGCCTGTAGCTCAATGGGTAGGGCGCCAACCACATACACAAAAGCTGGCGGGTTCAAACCCAGCCTGGGCCAGCTAAAACAACAATGACAATTGCAACCCCCAAAATAGCTAGGCGTTGTGGTGGGCACCTATAGTCCCAGCTACTTGGGAGGCTGAGGCAAGAGAATCGCTTGAGCCCAAGAGTTTAAGGTTGCTGTGAGCTGTGGCACCATAGCACCCTACCCTGTCTCAAAAAAAAAAAAAAGGGTCAGCGCCTGTAGCTCAGTGGGTAAGGGACTGGCCACATGCATCAGGGCTGGTGGGTTCAAACCCAGCCAGGGCCTGCTAAACAACAATGACAACTATAACAACAACAATAAAAATAGCCGGGCATTGTGGCAGGCACCTGTAGTCCCAGCTACTTGGGAGGTTGAGACATGAGACTCACTTAAGCCGAAGAGTTCAAGGTTGCTATGAGCTATCATGCCATAGCACTCTACCAAGGGCAACATAGTAAGACTCCGACACACACACACAAAAAATTTTTTTTAAATTGCAAAGATAAATTTCAAGTTGTGTATATTTTCCCACAATTTTTTTTTTTTTAGAGACAGAGTCTCATGTTGTTGCCCTCGGTAGAGTGCCATGTGTCACAGCTCACAGCCACCTCCAGCTCTTGGGCTTAAGAGATTCTCTTGCCTCAGCCTCCCTAGTAGCTGGGACTACAGGCACCCACCACAACACCCGGCTATTTTTTGATTGCAGTTGTCATTGTTGTTTAGCTGACCCAGGCCAGGTTCGAACCAGCCAGCCTAGGTGTATGTGGTCAGTGCCATAACCACTGTGCTACACGTGCCAAGCCTTTCCCACAATTTTTAAGTGAGCCTCACCTTCTCCATGACCAAGTTCCATTCTGTTGAATACTCATCTGGCTCATTGTATCCTCTATAATTCTTCCTCAGAGTCATGAAGCTGTGTTCCAAGGCCAGGTCTTTAACCTTGCGGATGAGACAGAAGTAATTAGCACCCAAATAGCTAGAGTGACCTCTTGGCTGAGGTTTCCCGGGACAGAACAGGAGGGTGAGGGACTGCCTTATTTTTATTTTTTTTGCAGTTTTTGGCCGGGGATGGGTTTGAACTCGCCACCTCCGGCATATGGGGCTGGCGCCCTACTCCTTGAGCCACAGGCGCTGCCCCTTCCTTCATTTTTCTTACCCTCAGCTCATGGGGGTCTGCTCTATGGAGTAGTTCGTGCTACAGCCCCCGAGAGAGAAACAGGAACGAGCGTGGAGCCAAGTGCATCTGGCTGTACTCATCACAAATGAATTTGAATCATCTGCTCTTTCAAATCGCCCACAGCCTGCTACACCCACGATCTGGCTCTAAGTCAATTAAAGACCTGAATATCACCTTCACAACTCAATCACTCTCTACACATAAGGGGCAAATTTAATTTTCTATTTTTTAAATAAAGGCTTTTAAAAGCTGCCCCCAGCCAGAGGTGATAGAGTCATATGGTTCAAAATTAACAAAGCACAGAAGTTTCCCTCCCACCTTTCTCTCCCAGCCAGAAAGTTCCTCCCACTCCAGTACTGATGACTGTTACTGTTTCCTGTGTCCCCAAAGAGAGGTTTCATGTGTGTCAAAGCAAAGTATATTCACACCCTTTGTTCCCTCTTCCTTTCACACTCATTGTCCTGCATCTGGCTGTGTCAACAAGAGTAGCAGGTGCTCTTGGTTCCCTGCTCAGGATCCTGTGGCCCTTATGAGACCTGTGTCCCCTAGCCACATTGCCCTGCCTTTTTTTTTTTTTTACTCCCTTTTTTTTTTGCAGTTTTTGGCTGGGGCTGGGTTTGAACCCACCACCTCCGGCATTTGGGGCCAGCGCCTTACTCCTTTGAGCCACAGGCGCCGCCCTTTACTTTTTTCTGAGACAGAGTCTCACTATGTCACCCTTGGTAGAGAGCTGTGGCGTCACAGCTCACAGCAACATCAAACTTTTGGGCTGAAGCAATTTTCTTGCCTCAGCCTCCCAAGTAGCTGGGACCACAGGCACCCACAATGCCTGGTTATTTTTTTGTTGTAGTTGTCATTGTTGTTTAGCTGACCCAGGCTGGTTATAAACCTGCCAGCCTCGGTGTTTGTGGCCGGTGTTCTAACCACTGAGCTCTGGGTGCCGAGCCAGGTCCCTGCCTTCTGAGCTCGGGTATACCCTGACAGCAACCCTCAGGCAGTGGCTGATGGGACTTGGAGGATCAACACCTCAGGCCCCCAACCCTTGAGTGAACAACTTAGGTGCTTATTCAATGCTGTGTCCCAGATGTCACCAGCAGGACTGAGCTTGGTGGCTCACAGGATGACCTTTAGTGGGCTGCCTTCCCTTGTCTGCCTCACTTCTGTTCCCTTCGAATGCTTCCTGGACTCACCTCCCACATCAATCACATGCCTTTGAATTCTAATGTCAGGGTCAGTTCCTCAGGGGGACAATGATGTGGTTAGTATTCTAATCTGGAGAACATCCCATCTGGGACCCAGAGAACCACCTCCTTCCTCATTTCCAGATGTACAGGAGTCTGTTGTGTGGGTGTATTATCACATACTTAAATGTACCCTCTAGGCTGTTCGCAATATTTTAGACATGAATGTCATCCTGAGCAAGTCAATCTTTGGATAATTCCCAGACATGGGATTGTTGGGCCAAAACGCTCAAGCTTTTGTTGTTTTGATGATTTTCCTAAATAGTCCCTCTATTTTGAATACATTAAAAAAAAAAAAAACAGTAACATGCACAATTTTCCCATCACCTCTCCTCCCAACCAGAAAAGAAGGAGAGATGGTCCCAAATGAACCTGGCAAGTTTCCTGAGCCCTCAGAGGTTTTCAGCTTTTTACCTGGCCTCTGGGTGCATGTTGCATCCATGGGACCTGCGCATCCCCACAAGTGAGCATAGAGTGTGGGTGCCCCCAGTGGAGAGGGGATGGGTTTCTATTGACGCTCTTTCTAATGCTGAGTGGGAGAAACAGCCCCATACTTACAACTGGGAAGAAAAGAAGAACAACTGTGGCGGCAGTGATTTCCACTACGAGGATGATAACCATGACAATGAAGCACTGGAAGACACAGAGGGGTGTGGAGGATTGAACATCATGCCTGCTCTAACAGTCACCAATTTCAGAACTCATCTGAGGAATTGCTGAGAACAAGTCAATTTCTGGCAATCTCTTGTGACGTGGAAGGCAAGCCACCAAGTAACTCAGTAATCCCAGAGGAGCAAAGATCAGTCTTGTGGTAGTAAGGCTGATGTTAAACATCAAGCATTTTACGGCTGTTCCCTAAAAGGACTAGTGGGAGAAAATTGCACGTAGTTTTTTTGGAAATCATTTCCTTGAGTACATAACTTTTTCTTTTTTTGCAGTTTTTGGCTGGGGCTGGGTTTGAACCTGCCACCTCTGGCATATGGGGCCGGCACCCTACTTCCTTTGAGCCACAGGCACCGTCCAAGTACATAACTTTTTACCGCCTTTTGTTCACCCATATGACATCATTTTCTTGAGTATGTAGACCCTAAAGCACATGGTCCTGCATGTCTTTGCTTAGTAATCTTTCCACCCATTATGTATCTTCTCAATAAAAGGACTCTGCGTTGGGTGGCACCTGTGGCTCAGTGAGTAGAGCGCCGGCCCCATATACTGAGGGTGGCGGGTTCAAACCTGGCCCAGGCCAAACTGCAACAAAAAAATAGCTGGGCATTGTGGCAGGCGCCAGTAGTCCCAGCTGCTTGGGAGGCTGAGGCAAGAGAATTCGCCTAAGCCCAGGAGTTGAAGGTTGTTGTGAGCTGTATGACGCCACCGCACTCTACCAAGGGTGATAAAGTGAGACTCTCTCTTTATAACAAAAAATAAAAGGACTCTGTGAGAAGTGCTCGGGGCTATCCTGCACCTATGGTGAGCCTCACCTCTTGCACCTCTTACTGTCAATCCATGTCTCGAATGATCATTTATGTGGTCCCGACAGAGGGGGACACAGGGGGACTGGGAGCCTGCTCAGCCACATCCGTGCCTTGCACTGAGTGGGGACAGGGGGTGTCCCTGTACCCCCACCCCATGCTACCCTGGCCTCTTCAATTTGAAAGAACTGACACCTGGGGTTAGAGAGTGAGGGGCTGTTGGTTTTTATTTCCTGCACACTGGGGACTCAAGGATGTTTAAAGTAGCTGTAAGCTGAACCCTCATCCTGACAGCCTAGGAAGGGACCCCAGGGAGCTAAAAGGGTAGGGGCTAGTAGAGGCACAGGAAGAACAATGGGAAGGACAACAAGGATGACTAACCTCAGCAAAGGATTGAAAGGGATAGGGTGGCAACTGGTGGGCAGGGGGCAGGGGAAAATAGTATGTGCTGGCTTATTTTTTCCCAATGAAATTTGCATGCATTTGGAAAGAGTAAAGGAAATATGGCAAGAAGAGGGGCAGTCTTGTGGCTACACATCACAGAGAAGCAACTTCCCTCTCTGGGCCTCAGTTGTCCATCTGTACAATGTGCGGGTAGGACCAGCTCAGGGGTTCTCAGAGGATTTTGTGGAGCCTCTTGAGGCCACATGGGGACAGAGTAATCCATCTCCTGGCATCCCTTTCTTCTGTTCTCATTATTACTGATATATCATAGTACATTAGTTAAAATCTGTTTGATAGGCTCGGTGCCTGTAGCTCAGCAGATAGGGTGCCAGCCACATACACCAGAGCTGGTGGGTTCAAAACCAGCCCAGGCCTGCCAAACAATGACAACTACAACAAAAATATAGCCAGGCATTGTGGCGGGTGCCTGTAGTCCCAGCTACTCAGGATGCTGAGGCAAGGGAATCACTTAAGCCTAGGAGTTTGAGGTTTCTGTGAGCTGTGACACCATAGCACTGTACTGAGGGTGACATAGTGAGACTGTCTCAAAAACAAAAAAATATCTGTTTGATAATTCATCCTTTGAGTTGCTAGACTGGCCATTGGCTGGGCTTATCTAGCATGGACAAGGAGAAGCTGGAAAGTATAGTGGATATATGCCCAGGCTCCCCACACGCCACAGGGGCACATATGGGTACAGGAATAGCAGTTGTGGGAACACACACTGCTGGGTTCATGTAACAGATGGTAAGGATATCTCCCTGTCTCTGGGGGACTGAGGTATCTGGGCTCCATTTTTCAGGATCTATCCTGAATCTGTCCACTTCTTATCCCAGGAAATCACTGTTCTACCTGGGTTCAGCCCCCTCGCCCTGACACTCTGCTCCCCTCACAGATACCAGAAGGTGCCTGTGAATAGCAGAGTGACGGCACATCCCTCCTCTGCTCACAACCCTCCCCAGCTCCCAATACCAACAAAAAGACTTTGCTTTCCTGAATGAAGTCTCTTTGGTGGGATGGAGGCTTTAGAGGGACAGATAATTAGGGCAAAGACGACAGAATTTGTGGATGGATTGGATGTGGTGCGTCAGAGAGAGGATTCTTGGATTCCTCCAAATTAAACAATGAAAAGATAAAATAGAGCCTGCAGCAGATCAAAGCTAAAATTAAATACTGCAGACACAGGGCCTGTTTAATGACAATTTGTTGAACAAGATAATTAAGAAAAATTAAAAAGGCTCGGCGCCTATAGCTCAGCCGGCTAAGGCGCCAGCCACGTACACCTAAGGTGGCGGGTTCGAATCCCCAGCCCGGACCCGCCAAACAACAATGACGGCTGCAACCAAAAAATAGCCGGGCATTGTGGCCAGCGCCTGTGGTCCCAGCCACTTGGGAGGCGGAGGCAGGAGACTCGCTTGAGCCCAGGAGTTGGAGGTTGCTGTGAGATGTAATGCCACGGCACTCTGCCCAGGGGGACAGCTTGAGGCTCTGTCTCAAAAAAAAAAAAAAAAAAAAAGAAAAATTAAAAAATGATGGAACTTCCAGGAGAAGAAAGATGGGGGAGGGGTGCTTTTAACAATGGGGAACCACATAGGATGACCAGAACAACGATCTCCCTGAACCCCCCAGATTGAAATAACCAGAGTTTTGCAACAACAAAGTGAAGGAAGGAAAACAATATACTTCACTCTACCAAGGGTGACAAAGTGAGACTCCGTCTCAAAAAAAAAAAAAAAAAAAAAGCTTACTGGAGGAAGATTAAACCTGGGGTGGCATAGAATCAAACAAGAATCTAGGGGGCCGGTCCCAGAGATGGAGATGGGAACCAAGAAGTTGAGAGCAGACTTCGGGGGAGAATGAGTAAGACAGGTAAACTCTGTGACTTGCCGTCGAATGATCACGCTTGAAATTTCATATGCCACGTACTTGAACATGGACTTGTACATGTATGGTGATTACAACAGTATTGCGTCAGCAAGGAACAGATACATGGGGCAGTAGTATAGAGCAATGCACTGGTAACAGACCCAAGCATAATGGGAACTAATGTGACAAAGGAGAACTGAATGGGTCACTCAATAAGTATGTTGCCCAACTGAGGGAAAAAAAATCAAATCAGACTCCAACCTCACACCACACACACAATTTAGAAGCAAGAAAACAAGATTGAGCTCAGGAGTCTGAGACTTGAGTAAGAGCAAGATCCCATCTCTCAAAAAAAAAAAGTGGGACCACACCTAGGGTGCATCTTACAAGGGTACATGTGAAATTTACTAGGTGTAGAATATAAATATCTAAACACAATAACTAAGAAAATGCCATGAAGGCTATGTTAACCAGTTTGATGAAAATATTTCAAATTGTATATAAAACCAGCACATTATACTCCATGATTGCATTAATGTACACAGCTATGATTTAATAAAAAAAAAAAAAAGAGTGAAGGGCGGTTCCTATGGCTCAGTGAGTAGGGTGCTGCCCCATATACCAGGGGCGGGAGGTTTGAACCCGGCACAGCCAAACTGCAATAAAAGAATAGCCCGGCATTGTGGCAGGCACCTGTAGTCCCAGCTACTCAGGAGGCTGAGGCAAGGGAATCTGGGAATCACCTAATCCCAAGAGCTGGAGGTGGCTGTCAGCTGTGACAACACAGCACTCTACCGTGGGCGATAAAGTGAGACTCTGTCTCTAAAAAAGAAAAAGAAAAATTAAGTAGGCGTTGTGTAGTCAGCCACTCCAGAGGCTGAGGCAGGAAGTCTGCTTGAACCCAGGAGTCTAGGCTGATGCCTGGACAACGGAGTGAGACTCTGTTCTCAAAATAAATAAATAAATAAATAAAATCATGGGGCGAAAACCTAGGAAATACAATTTATGACCTTGGAGGGGGGCAGAGGTTCTAAAAAAGATACACCATTGGCTCGGCGCTTATAGCTCAAGTGACTAAGGCGTCAGCCACATGCACCAGAGCTGGCGGGTTCAAATCCAGCCTGGGCCTGCCAGAGAACAATGACAACTACAATCAAAAAATGGTCAGGCATTGTGGGGGGGGGGTGCCTGTAGTCCCAGCAACTTGGGAGGCTGAGGCAAGAGAATCACTTAAGCCCAGGAGTTAGAGGTTGCTGTAAGCTATGATGCCACAGCACTCTACCGAGAGTGACAGCTTAAGACTGTCTCAAAAAAAAAAAAAAAAGATACACCATAAAGGAAAACATGGAGACATCTGTTGCCATTAAACAAGATACCTTAAGCACAGTTAAAATCAAGGACACCAAGCAAAGTTGTTTGAACCCATACCATGAAGGATTTGTACATGGGCCATTTGGGGGTTTGTATGCAGATCCAACTTACAAACAAGAGAGTGCCTCTGCTATTCTTGGCAGTTCCATAGCACCCAGTGCAGCTAAGCAGTATCAAGATGCACCCCATTACCATGCATAGGTTGCTTATGTGAAGAAAGTATGCAGAGGACAGCCCAAAGACCCTCGTCAGGGCACCATCTCCACACTTGATACTGATGCCCAGGCCAATGAGGATAATGCCAGACACCTTTAGAACAGAAATCAGAAAGACAAAAAAAAAAAAAAATCTATTAGTTGTACACAAATAGAAATCTTCCAAGGTGGGGAATGGGGGAAACCAAAAGTGTTTTATTTATTTATTTATTTATTTTGAGACAGAGACTCACTGTGTCACCCTTAGTGGAGTAGTAGAGTTTTGTGGTGTCACAGCTCATAGCAACCTCTAACTTTTGGACTTAAAGTGATTCTCTTGCCTCAGCCTCCCAAGTAGCTGGGACTACAGGCGCCTGCCACAACGCCCAGCTATTTTTAGAGACGAGGTCTTGCTCTGGCTCAGGCTGGTCTCGAACCTGTGAGCTCAGGCAATCCACCCACCTCGGCCTCCCAAGTGCTAGGATTACAGGTGTGAGCCACACACCTTGCCACCAGCAAAAGTGTTTTAAACCAATAATATGTAAAGTTGGCAAGGATTTGGAAACATTCTTTTAATTTGCTGCCTACTGGGTGGCGCTGTGGCTCAATGAGTCGGGCGCTGGCCCCACATACCCAGGGTGGTGGGTTCAAACCCAGCCCTGGCCAAACTGCAACAAAAAAATAGCCGGGCATCGTGGCAGGCACCTGTGGTCCCAGCTACTTGGTAGGCTGAGGCAACAGAATTGCCTAAGCCCAGAGGTTGCTGTGAGCTGTGACTCTACAGCACTTTAAAAAGGGCAACAAAGTGAGACTCTGTTTCTAAAAAAAAAAAAAAAGAGGCACCTGTGGCTCAATCCTTGGGATTGAGCCCCATATGCTGGAGGTGGCGGGTTCAAACCCAGCCCCAGCCAAAAACTGCAAAAAAATAAAAAATAAAAATAAGTTACTGCCTACCAACAAACCTTATTTATTTATTTGTTTGTGGGGCAGGAGAACACTTTGCAATTCATACTTAAAACCTCAAAGATTTTACCAATGGATGAGTGCATTGGGATCCTAAACAGTTATTTAAAATGATTTTGCAGGCTCAGTGCCTGTGGCTCAAGCAGCTAAGACACCAGCCACGTACACCTGAGCTGGCGGGTTCGCATCCAGCCCAGGCCTGCCAAACAACAATGACGGCTGCAACCAAAAAACAGCTGGGCATTGTGGCAGGCACCTGTGGCCCCAGCTACTTGGGAGGCAGAGGCAGGAGACTCGCTTGAGCCCAGGAGTTGGAGGTTGCTGTGAACTGTGATGCCATGGCACTCTACCCAGGGCAACAGCTTGAGGCTCTGTCTCAAAAAAATAAATAAATAAAAATAAAATAAAATGTTTTTGCAGAATGGGTTGGCAATTTTTTCTTTCTAAAAAACACCTAGATACTGTGTCCTTTGAAGATGATAAGATATCTGTTGAAACGACTCCAATTCTGCTAGTGTTGCTTGAAACCAGCTGTACACCACCTGCAAACAAATGTGCATGGCTGTGTTCCAATAACACTTTATTTATAACTCAGCAAGGACATAGTTTGCTGACCTCTGTTGCATGAGACTATTTAGTCAATAACAGAAAGATGTTCTTATTTTAATTTTTATTTATTTATTTTTTTGAAACACAGTCTCACTTTGTCACCCTTGGTGTAGTGCTATGGCATCATATCTCACAGCAACCTCAAACTCCTGGGCTCAAGCCATTCTTCTGCCTCAATTTTTCATTTTTAGTAGAGATGGGGTCTCACTCTTGCTCAAGCTGGTCTCAAGTAATCCACGGGCCTCAACCTCCCAGAGTGCTAAGATTACAGTTGTGAGCCACTGTGCTTGGCCCAAAAACATATCTGAATACATTTTTTAAAAAGTAGACTGTATCTGGGCATGGTGGCTCACACCTGTAATCCTAGCACTCTGGGAGTGGCTGAGGTGTGTGGATCACTTGAGCTCAGGAGTTCAAGACCAGCCTGACCAAGAATGAGAACCTGTCTCTACTTAAAATAGAAAAACTAGTCAGGCAGGTGCCTGTAGTCCCAGCTACTTGGGAGGCTGAGGCAAGAGGATTGCTTCAACCCAAGAGTTTGAGATTGTTGTGAGCTATGATGATGCTGTATCATCATATCCAGGGTGACAGAGTGAGACTCCATTAGAAAAAAAAAATGGATTGTGAGGCAAAAGCATTTGTTTGTTCTTTTTTTTTTTTTCTTGTTAGTTAAAGACTTGAAGTCTATGATGTTCTGTTTTTTTTTTTTTTTTGAGACAGAGCCTCAAGCTGTCCCCCTGAATAGAGTGCTGTGGCATCACAGCTCACAGCAACCTCCAACTCCTGGGCTTAAGTGATTCTCCTGCCTCCGCCTCTCTAGTAGCTGGGATTACAGGCACCCACCACAATGCCCAGCTATTTTTAGGTTGCAGCCGTCATTGTTGTTTGGCAGGCCCAGGGTAGATTCGAACCTGCCAGCTCAGGTGTATGTGGCTGGCGCCTTAGCCACTTGAGCCATAGGCGCCGAGCCTGTTCTGCTGTTTTTAAAAGGTATTAGGTAAGTGTCAAAGGATATAGTGATGATGATGATGAAGATGATGATATTTATTGAGCAAAGACCTCATGACGAGTTTAAGCCCTTTAATGTATTGTCTCATTTCATTCGTATTAAAATATTACAATACATGGTCATGCCCAGAGCTCAGTGGGTAGGGCACCAGTCACATACACTGAGGTTGCTGTGTTCCAACCCAGCCCGGGCCAACTAAAACAATGACAACTGCAACAACAACAACAAAAATAGCCAGGCATTATGGTGGGCACCTGTAGTCCCAGCTATTTGGGAGGCTAAGGCAAGAGAATCGCTTAAGCCCAGGAGTTTGAGGTCACTGTGAGCTGTGATACCACACACTCTCCCCAGAGAACTCAAGATTCTGTCTCAAAACAAACAAACAAATAAAAAATACTACAATACAGATGATAAGGGTGATATTTAATTTCCTTCTCTTTCCTGGCAGTTTTTCTTTACACAGTGGTACAATGAACACAATTACTTTTTTAACAATGTACATTACAGGCTACTTTTATAGTAAAAAAGAAGATCAGGGGAAAAACCACTCCCTCCTGTCATCCCCAAACAACTTGGTTTTCTGCAGGATTTAACTTCAAGTTAAGCTGTTCCATCACCCAGATCACACTTATCTGTGCTTGATTTCACTGGCTCTGAGTCGACTGGAGCCTGCGCCTGTTCCCAACACGCCTTGTTCCTTGTCTGTCTGCCCTACATCGCTCTAACTTCCCTGGGGACCACAGATCTGGATGCCAATTTGGATCAACTTATTTCTGTCTTTCAGGGAGCCACCAGTGGAGGAAGGGCTGCAACTTCCTAGGGCCTGGGTTATGACATACTTACAGCCAGGAAGACATTGAATAAAGGTAACAGTTTCTTCAAGGAAGAATATGGAGTGTGCATTTCAGCCATTTTGGCCAGATGGGGCACCCTGGAAACTTAAGTCAGCATCTTCCTAAACCTCTGGGCTACTGTTTCCCAAGATGATAGGGATCTGGGAGAAATACCAAAGCTAACTCGCTCAGTTTCTCTCTGTCCTGGCCACCTAGTCATTGCTTGGAGCTGCCCACCAGCTGCCTGCCTCAGTCATAAACCTTTATCACATCATAATCAGATGCTGGAACAAGCCCACTGTGCCAGGGAGGCAGGTGTCGCAAATCGTCTCCTCTTAGGCCTCATTCTCCAAACAGGTCACCCCAGGGATGGAGAAAAGGCATCATGTCCTGCCCTGGGAGCCCCCAGTTGCTACCAGGGCCCTGTGGTCATAATACGCCTCACTGACTACTCATGTAGTTGACATCCCTGGGTAGACTGGGGGCTGCAAAAGGGCAGAGACCTGGGTTGTCCTATTATTAATAACAGCTGTGTCCTCAAAGCTTGAGCACAGTAGGTACTTAGAAATCGGGTATGGGCTTGGCACCCATAGCACAGTGGTTACAGCACCAGCCACATACACTGAGGGTGGCAGATTTGACACCCAGGCCAGCTAAACAACAACGACAACTTCAACAAAAAATAGCCAGGTATTGTGCTACTTGGGAGGCTGAACCAAGAGAATTGCTTAAGCCCAAGAGTTGGAGGTTGCTGTGAGCTGTGATACCATAGCACTCTCCCCAGGGCAACATAATGAAACTGTCTCAATAAAAAGAAGGGAAAAAAAAGAAACCTGTACAGAATGAATGAACAAAAAGGCAAGGTGATGCAGGAATCTGGCTACAGCCACCTGGGCCCCTCAAGCTCCAGTTCATACTTGGCCTATCCTCAGAAAGGCCAAGAGACTGCCTGAGGTCACACAGGAAGCAGGGCCTAAGGCTAGGACTTGAAGCCCTTATGCTATCATGAGGCAGGAATTTGTAAGGCAGAGAGCCCATCCTTTCTCCATCTGAGGTCTGCTTGGCTGAATGGTCCTGGAACTGTGTGCCATCAGTCACTGGGTTTTTCTGTTTCTTTCTTTCTTTCTTTTTTGAGACAGAGTCTCACTTTGTCGTCCTTGGTAGAGTGCTATGGCATCATAGCTCACAGCAACCTCAAACTCTTGGGCTCAAGCAATCCTCTTGCCTCAGCCTCCCAAGTAGCT